CCATACCGTGTGGTTCCTAACCAAGGAGGTGGGGTAGACGAACGGGGTGGCAAGCTTGTAAAAGGCTTCTTCCCAGGGGCGGAGAGATTAGCGAGTCTCCATCATTTGAAACTCATCACAGACATCAAAAGAATGTCTGAGCAATTTGTAAAATTACTAAACGAGCAAGGGGAAAAGACCAAATAAATGCATATGTATGTATATGAGATTAAGAGGGAAGGAAAACTTCCCTTTGCTTACACATGAAAGGCTTATGTGATTATTCAAGGGAAAAGAAAGCTTTGAGCATTATCAAATGGTATATACAGTAGAGTGAAAAATCTAAATAAGCCTTCAGGCGGGCAGAACTTTATAGCTTTTAAATCCCTTGTAATAATTACAAATGTGTTTTGTTTTTAGTTTGTTTTTCCTTTTGTCTGTTTAGCTATTTTTTTTTCATCCATCATCCACCTCTAAGGGAAGTGAGACTTGGCTCCTTTCCTGTTTTGCTGTGAGCTGAAGATGGTTCGGTTTGATTGGGCCTGATGCTCCTATAATGTTTTAATGTCATTCTTCCTTTCAAATTCTAAAACAGCTGTCAATTTTTTATTGTACAGTATAGGGTCATGTGTTTGTTGGTTTCACGGGGCATTTTAAGGCTGTTTCCCAGTCTGTTCCCCTGAGCATGTAAGTAAAAGGAGGATGATAGTTAGAGACTGAAGGAAAAGATGAATGAGCAAGCCATTGTTTAAAGCAGTTATCTGCAGCCTGATCCTCTTTGTAATTTTGAACTGCAGCTTTCTGTCAGCATCAGGCAGGATGATCCTCAGTTAAGGATAATGGGGATTGTAGTCCTGAAACCTAGATGGTTCCGCATGGGAGGGGGCTACTGAGTTCTGATTTCAGCTGAGTTCAGTGGGAACAAGGAGGTTAAGTGCAGGACGGACAATGTTTTCCATCCATAACTGTAGTCCTGAAACCTAGATGGTACCGCATGGGAGGGGGCTACTTTAGGAAGGGTGCAATGGGAAATGCCAAACAGATAACGCTTTTTCAGATCATCTTTGTAAACTATAATTTTGCAGGCTGTACATATAACAGCTGGTCACCCTATCTGTGGCCTTTGCCAAAGTTTACTAGATGTTGTATCAGTCAAAACAAACAAACCAACATCTTTATAGGAACACGTGCCATTACCGTAAGCCAGATCAGACCAGCCTCTGAACTGCAGCCATTTTCTGGGGCTGGTTGCATTCCCACGTCGAGCTACAGATCCTACCAACCGAGACTGCAGTCCCTCATCATGGCAGTCTTCCAAAAGGAGAATCCCAGAATGCATGAATGGCCAGTATAAATACTCAAGAAGCAGGTCTTTTCAAAAGTTAATGGCTTTTTAATTTCCTCAGAGCACGGATAGCTTCTAGCCAGATACAGTCCCTTGACCAATGCATTTGGATTGAGGATTGCAGCTGAGTTCAGTGGGAACAAGGAGGTTTAGTGCAGGACGGACAATGTTTTCCATCCATGCTAACCAAAAAAGTTCAACTCTGTGGGCCTCCCTGGATCCACCACTACAGGCCAGCTTTTCAAAGTGAAGAAATCTACCATTTTGGACTACAACTCCTCAAATCTCTCAGCCAGTATGTTAGCTGAGGGTAATGGGAAATCCAGTTCTCACCGCCACCAAGTGAAGTGGTTTTACCTTTGCCAACTTTCAATTCATGGACTACGAAGGGGCTCTGTCTTTACCCTTTGCTTCAGGCATCCAAGGGCCCTGCCTAGAATGTTTTTCCATGCAGAGCCAAGAGCTTGAACCCTCCCCCCCCCCAGTTCGCCATTTTGCCTTTTGCAGAGAGGTTGCACATGTCAGATCAGAGACAGCCTGGGCTGGAAAATATCAGCTAGGCACAAGGGCAGAGAAGGAACAGGTGCCTGAGGTGGTGCCCGGGGACTTAATGAGGACAAGGCTCTGCTACTCTGGAAACAGCCAGCTTTTTGTGCAGTTTATCCAACACTACTTGACAACGCTACTTTACCCATAGGCAGCATTCAACCGCAAGCTTGCTCTGGAGTTTTTAGCCTGGAAATTCCTGTTTCTCTGTTATCTGTATGTTATTTTATAGACACCTCCACACAGACATGGAGATTTTGATGGAAGGTCAAATTTAGCACTTATTTTGAAGAAGTGCTCCTTCAAGTTGTCAAAGACATCTGTTTGTCCTAGCATAGGTGTAGTCAATCTTCAGAGTAAATTTCGATTCATGGCTGTTGCAAGGCTACACCAGCTTCTGCAAACCTTCATAAGGATCTTCCAGAAATGATTTTTTTTTAATCTGAAAAGTCATCCTTATACCCTCCAGTGGCCAAAATAATATTAATGCGGGAGGCAACCCCAGTCTGCTAGGACATCACATTTGGGTCCAGGGGAGCTGCATGCAGGCCACAGGCTGCACGTTGCTCATTTCATCCTTATAACTGCTTTTCTTCACCTCCATATCTTATGCTTAGTGTGCTTTGTTTTATGATTGGATGTTGCAAAGGAAACAACACCTTACTTTTCAGAACTGATTGCTGAGGCACAAAACTCTAAGGAAATCTGATGGGGAGGAGAAACTAATGGGAATATGTGCTTCCAATGTATTTATTTAGGGGGCAAGTATAAAGGTGAAAATATTTGCCATGAAATGGACTCGATCTATGAAAGTTTACATTAAAATATAGCAGTTAATCTTTAAGGTGAAACAACATTTTGTCTTTATTATTGTTGATGTCTGTAATAATTGTTCTTTCATTCTACAGATTTTCATTCTGTGCTATTGACTACCCTGAAGGTCAAATCACATATTAAGACAAATGAGCATTTCTTGCTGTTACAGAATGATCCACCATATACTCAGTCCCTTCAAAGTTCTATGTCTGTGCCATCAGACTTGCAAATTAAGTTCCTGTTTACTGTCCTAAATCTAATCACCAAACAGATACAGTATCAGCTAATTTCGAATATTTAGAGTGTGATCCTCTCATGCTAGGATGAACAGAAATCTTTTTCCCCCTTAAAGGAGCTCCAATTCTAATGATGTGCTAACTGTATTATCTCGTGCAACTGTCAGGTTCAATCAAGGCTCAAAATGCTGTTGGTGTGTCTCAGGGAGGAAGCTTTGATAAGCCTCCCCTAGGAGACCCACTGCCCTGGGGCAAATGGTCAGGTCATTCCCGGACCCAAGTGCCTGCTTATATCCTTCTGGTTCTTGGTGGAAGCCCTGATCCCATAGCCTTCCCCCATTAAAGGGCATCCACTCAAATCTTTCTGAAGGGTGTTCACCCGTCCAAAAGCCACTTGCCCTCAAGCACAGACCTTCAATTCTCTTGATAAGAAAAGGAGCGAAGACCACTGCCAGAGAGGGCAGGGTTAGTGGAGCGTCTGTGACAGGCATTCTTAATGGCCTGTCTGATAAAGTTACAGAGGAAAATGCCAGCGTGGTGCCGAGAGTGGGTTAGGGGAAGAGCTAATCCAATTCCTGGCTCATGAAGACATATGGTTCTCTCGAGGCCACCCCAGAACTGGGGACAGGAATCCACCAGGACAGGAACACCAACGGCCTTTTCATCTTAGTCAGTAACCACAAGCTGGGTTACAGAAGGATCTTCCTGTACCAAGGCTAGACACATAAAGCAGCTGTTAGAATTTGTTGGTGTTTGTACTGGCAGAGGACAGAGTAACTTTTTATGGTCTAAGGAACTTAATTTATGAACAATATAGAGGGAAGATTTCTTGACTTATTTACAGAAGCCCCCAAGGCTGGCTTCTGTCTGTGTAGGTCTGTTGGCAGGCACTAAGGAAACACCCTGTGCAGTCTGCTTCTGTCCATCAGAGGGGAGCAACAAAAAAGGAAGAAAAAGGAAAGAAGTGGACCTCAGACAACAAAAAAGGAATGATCTTGGAGGAAGAAAAAGGAAAGAAGTGGACCTCAGAGTAGCAATCTGCATGCGATGTGAAGGGAAAATGCAGGCTACTGCCGCCATCCGTTCCCCACTGACGTTGCCTTCATAGATGCATTGCTGCTGTAGGCCAGCAACAAAATGCTAGCATGTAAAATTAGGGTTTGCTGACTTTTCTTCTTGCCTTGTCTTTTCATGTTATGTCCAACATACTATAAATGGCATTACTTTTGTCATTTTACCTCTCAGAGAGAATTTAGTCTTGAGTTGCTCTCTTTCTGTCTTTCTGGCAGCCTCTAGTATTGATAAAGCTCTCCTCATACGCCATATTCCAAATGAATCCATTTTTTCCTGACAGTTTTCTGAAATGTCCAACTTTTCCTTCTGTTCATAGAAATTGGGAATGCCACTGATTATCTCCAGCAACACTTCCATATGCTTAACGGTATTTCTAGTAACTACAAGGTAATTCATCTAGTGGTTAATGAAAAACAGAAAAGTAAAGAGTTACCTTTTTAAATGCAGTTATAATTATAATTAATTACTTGAGACTTATAACTAATCAATTACTTTTTACAAGTAAGACTGTCCAGGAAGCACTTTGTTAAATGGCCACTATAAATGTGACAACGAAGCATTTTTTAATACCTTTAAAGGGTTATGTGTTTTATTTGAGATAATCTTTTCTGGAAAGCTGTTGTATAGATGGTTAGCCAATTCTGTTATATGTATTTGGGAGAGTGGTGGCAAAGAAATAGAAATGCAGAGGTATATACATCAGTGATTCTCTTAACAGTATTTGTTTAAGAAACATTAGTTTGGAGGTAACACAGATATTCTGCCTAGATGACCAGATTCATCTATGTATGGTGAGGGAAACATTTTACCCACTCTGGTTAAAAGCCTTGTCAATTTTGTCAGTCCTTTAGTGGTGGGCCACCTCTCTTAATGTCCACATTAATCATTAAATAGTTTTTATGCATATTGTTTCTTCTTCTTCCCTGGTGAAACCGGACATGTCAGGCTCTTGAGTGAAGGCTAAATGGAGTGAAATGACAAGAGAATTATATTTTATTTTTCAGAACTCCTTCATCGCCCCTGACCGCAAGACCTCCTGCATTGACCTGTCTTTGGTGAGTGCCCCTCATGCGCCATCACATTGGCAATTTTGTGCAAGTACTGGGGGTGTTTATACCACAGCATCCCTTCAAGGGAAGTGTCTGCCTGACCTCCAGTTGTTTTGTCAGGCTGTTCCCAAAGAACCAGTGTTGTTGTTTAACAGTACTTAGTGAAACATCGTCAAAGTGCACGGGGCTTTACAGAGTACAGGACAACAGGTCAGGGTGCTGAGGACGTTACAAGTCCAAAAATGGACATCATGTGCAGTGAACCTTTGAGCCTCATGTTTTATCCTGGTCATCTGCAAAGCAGGCTCACTTCTGCCTGTATTGGTGACACCTACGCATGAGCCATTTACATGCAGTGGTTTATAGATCTAAAGGCCATCTGCTACGTGCTGGTTGGCTGAAATGTAGAATGAAGCCCCCATGGGTGAGGGTACAGCCAAATAAAAGGAGTGGAGGAAGAGGAGGTTTGGGGGGGGGATAGTAAAGGTGGAGAGACAAACAAAGCTGTTCCAAAAACAACAAAAGTATGAGGAAGTGACAATGGAGTAGCAAGAATATGGGTTTACTGCCCAAACAGATGTTAGCATCCATCTCTGGCTGTCTGTAGATTTTCGCCTGCTGGAAGAGGCCAGTGAGAATGCCATCCTCGCTACCTCGGACAACTAGGGACAAACCTTGTAAAACTGGCAAGCGTTGGTGGAAGTGGACGGATGGCAGGTCCAAACGGAAGACATGGAGGCGATGGAGAAGGGCTAAAAAAGCAGGAGGATGTCCTGAAGAAGGAGGGACATCAGACTTTAGGGTAGAGAGACAGGAGGGCCCTCTCCCTTGAATGGACGTGGACTGATGTTTACCTGAAAGGTGATGAAGCTGTACCAATATCCAGTGATGTCAGCAGCGTAAGGATTCATAGCAAGACAGTGCTCTTCATAAAACTGTGTTGACATCCACCTGTATATCTGTTTCTTGATGGAATTTATGGGTGAGAATTGCTTTTAACTTCACACCTTCTCTTTCCTGGAAGAAAACAGCCCAACACTGTCACTTTCTGAGTCCTTAATCACTCACGCAGCATGATCACGGAGAAAATAGATTGCATTTTGGGCCGCTTGAGCAGCAGTCTGACGCAATGCGTTTCCCACTGATTGCATGCTGTATGAGGAACTGCATCCCAGCCTCACCCCAATCCATGCCCAAGCTGGGTTTTTTTACCTACTCCTTTTGGAGCCAGGCTAGAGTGATTCCCTGGCAGAGTCACCTGTAATTCCTTTCCAGCCTTCTGATCACACCTTCCATCCCTGTTCAGGAATTCCACTGATGACACAGAGCCGAGCCACCTCCTACACTTTCAACCCATCACTTTTGATATGGGGATAATCCTGCTCACCAACTTCATAACATTTCTCTTAGGACTCCTCCTGGGTAACGCATGTCAAAGGTTCTCAGCATGCTGAAAAATGCTATGTGAATGCTTGCTTTTGGTTTATTTGTATGGCAAGGTTTTTCTCAAGTCAGGCCAATTCACCTGTGTTGCTTGGTGCTCATCCCCTAAGCCAGGGTCCCCAACCCCCAGTCCGCATCTGATCACACCTTCCATCCCTGTTCAGGAATTCCACTGATGACACAGAGCCGAGCCACCTCCTACACTTTCAACCCATCACTTTTGATATGGGGATAATCCTGCTCACCAACTTCATAACATTTCTCTTAGGACTCCTCCTGGGTAACGCATGTCAAAGGTTCTCAGCATGCTGAAAATGCTATGTGAATGCTTGCTTTTGCTTTATTTGTATGGCAAGGTTTTTCTCAAGTCAGGCCAATTCACCTGTGTTGCTTTGTGCTCATCCCCTAAGCCAGGGTCCCCAACCCCCAGTCCGCAGCCCTGGGCCAATCCGTGGGCTCCTTGGAACTGGGCTGTGGAGATGGATTCACGCACACATGGTGGGCGTGTCGCACTTGCGGAGGGGTGTTTCGTGCTCGCGGGTGGGCATGTCATGCTCACTGAGGGACATGTCACACTCACAGGTGGGCGTGTTGCGTTTGTGGGTGGGCGACATGCCCTTCCATGAGCATGACACACCCCTCTGCGAGTTTGATACACCCACCCATGAGCGCGGAGGTGCCCTCCACCCCCCGCGCACGGAGCCCGCATCCCCCAAATGGTCCACAGTCCCAAAAAGGTTTGGGACTGCTGCTCTAAGCTGCCTCTAAGCTCTGATATCTATATGCAAATGAAGTAAATGCTTCCTTTCAAGCAGACCAACATGGCCTTTCATGGACTGCGGTTCCTCTACCCATTTTTGAAATCCACCTCTTCTATGCACCAGGCAAGATGGTGCAGCCAGCTATGATATCAATGTCAAGGGTGCCCATTTCCAGAATCACACAGGTCTCTTTCCATTAAATATCCGTAGGCTCAGAGGAGGTATTAAAAGAAATGGATCTATTTTAGAGTCCAGATTAGTTAGGTTTTTTTTCTACCAACCTTCAAATAGGAATCTGGGTCCAGGATACGGAGAACACAGAACCCCCTGGATTAAATTCCCAAGAGAGAATTTTCCCAAAGGCTTTCACGGCCAGGATCCAATGGTTGTTGTAGGTTTTTCAGGCTGTTTGGCCATGTCTGGAGGTTTTTCTTCCTAACATTTCACCAGTCTCTGTGTCCGGTATCTTCAGAGTACAGGAGCTAGAACTCTGTCTGTGTTCTGGTGTAGTGTGTGAGATTGTTGAGTATTTGTAGTTGTGGGATCAGTTCTTTTCAGGAGATAGAGTGATTCCTGTGATCAGGGTGTTTTTGTTTGTGATGAGGGGGGAGATGATCTGTCACTGTGATTGATGAGTGTCATTGTCTAGTCTTTTGTGTGCAATGATCACCGGTTCTTGTGGCTCGGTAGAGTTCATTGACCTTTTTGCAATCTGTGTTTTTCAGTGCTGGGAGCCAGGCTTTGTTGAGTTTTAGAATTTCTTCTTTTTTCTTGAAGCTGTGCTGATGGTTATGGATTTCAATGGCTTCCCTGTGTAGTCTAACATAATGATTGCTGGTGTTGTCCAGTACTTCTGTGTTTTGAAATAGGATTTCCTGTCTAGGTTGTTTCAGGACATGTTCAGCTACTGCCGATTTTTCCGGTTGTTTTAGTCTGCAGTGTCTTTCATGTTCTTGACCAGAATCCAAACCAGAGTCAAAGAAAATGAAAGACACTGCAGACTAAAATGACCAGAAAAATGGGCAGTAGTTGTGCCACCCAGGAAAACCCATGGTGGCAACATGATTTGTGGCTGTAGCATCTTCTGTGTCCCATTGTGCTCTGTAATAACTCAAATTCGGGGGAAACGGAGAATAAGGTCAAGATGCTCAAAGGACACCACTTCAGTGCCAGGGGTAGAAGGTTTGAGAACAGCTCCCATATCCCCCTCCATGACAAGACCGTAAGTTGCTGGAGAACTTGGCTCTTTATTGAGGCCAACACAGTGTTAATGGAACAACACAACTTTAAAGGTCCAACAGGCTACAACAATGTCCATCACCAACGGTAGCTGAGAGCAAAGTGGGCTAGGCAAAGACACAGCAGGGGTGTTGGGTGCACGCTGTTAGCTGTCCGTGCAGATGGGTGGCATAGGCGCCCTCTCCAGCCAGACCTTCTTACCCTTCCCGAGCTTCAGCTAACCTGTAGGTCCAGTCGCTCTCTTCTGAGGCTCGCACAAAGTCTGCACAATCGTGGCTGGCTTTGCCAGACCAGTGGGGTGGGCCATCATGGGGTGAGAGGGTTCTCTAGCACCAGGTTGAGAGGTGACATGGCTGGACCGGCTGTGACTAGCACTTCCGCCACCAGTGAGCATGATGCTGGTTCTCCAGCCTGCAGGCTTCTTGGCAGCAGGCCTCGTCTTGGCACACCTGGCAGCATCCTCAGTTGGCACCAGGAGATCTACCCAGTTGCCCATCTCAGGGTTGCACCAGTGAACCAGTTCCCAGCCCTCCTTTGAGCGGGGTTCAGTCGGTAACGCTTCCTGGGTCCACAGCCACAACAAAGGTCCAACAGGCCACCATTTCCTGCTCCTCCTTAAGTTGGAGTCCTGACGTGGCCACATCTATGACTTTGAGGACATTTCCCACCTCCAACTCACTGCTGCCCCAATCCACCAGGGAGCTACAAGTTGGGAATGAGGCTAATTCACTCACTAAGATGGGAAGCCCACCTTCCCGTCCGGAGGGACCCTCACCAGTTCCATAAGGTTCCTTTGTTCATTTTAAAAATCAGATCTGATGTCCAGGCTGGGAGGAGGCCCCATTAATTGTGGGGTGGGGGAGGCATAGGATGGCCTGCTGCAACCAGCCCTCCTTTGAGCGGGGTTCAGTCGGTAACGCTTCCTGGGTCCACAGCATCAGCCCAGTGTTCCTCTTCCACCACTTCCTGCTCCTCCTTAAGTTGGATCCCTGACGTGGCCACATCTCTGACTTTGAGGACATTTCCCACCTCCAACTCACTGCTGCCCCAATCCACCAGGGAGCTACAAGTTGGGAATGAGGCTAATTCACTCACTAAGATGGGAAGCCCACCTTCCCGTCCGGAGGGACCCTCACCAGTTCCATAAGGTTCCTTTGTTCATTTTAAAAATCAGATCTGATGTCCAGGCTGGGAGGAGGCCCCATTAATTGTGGGGTGGGGGAGGCATAGGATGGCCTGCTGCAACACATTTCTGAGGCCCAGAGCCAGGCCTGATAGGAAGAAGACCAAAACAAGCACAACAGAACTAGTGCCACAGTACAAACTGGCACATTCTGTTCAAGGTCACGGACGAAGACATCTGAAAAGCTGAGAAGTCTCAGAACATAATTAAACCTTTGAAACATTAGAAGAGAGCTGAGCCAGCAAAAGGCCCTGGTGCTCAACATCCCAGAGATCCTGCGCATGTGGAAATGCGATGCCATGAATCAAGGAGGGAGTGATAACTTTGTAATCCTCTTCTCCCTCTGTCATCACCATCAAAATGCTGGCAGAGAGTGCAGG